GAATTGATGTACATCAATTAATGGATTAAATATTTTGAGATTGCGAAATAATTCGTCGACAAATCTATGTGTTTAATCATGATGTATTGGAGACAGAGTATGTGAAATTACACGCTTGGCAATTCCCCAAACAACCTCGTACATGAAATTATGAGGTTGATGCTACTATATTTCATATTTTGGCAAATTGAATTTAAATGTTCTACTGTTTTATTTTACTATGTTCTCTATTTTTTCTTTTTCTCCTTAGATATTTGATGGTATCTTTTGTGCCATATTTTTTCGTTACTTATATGAAACAAGATATTAGATCACTCATAATTAATTTGTCTTATTGGAATTTATGTTTAGTTTTACCATATTTTTCTTTATTTTTTTTTAAGAAGTTGAGATTCCTTTAATTATGTTTTAGTTTAACCATAGTAACAAATGAACCATATTTACCTTCAATTATTAAAGAAGAAAAGCATCCATCTCATATTTTCTTTAGTTCTTAAACAGAAAATATATTCATGTTGCCTTTAATTCTTAGAAAGGAAATATACCATTTATTTTATCTTTGTTTTCTTTAAATTAGTAAAAGTGAACGACGATCACCATGTATCCACTTTAAATCCTTTAAGAAAAAAGATACCATTTATATTGCATCTGTTTTCGATTATTGAAAAAGAAAGATTTTGAATCTTATTTATCTTTAATTCTAAAAAATAAAATATATCATCTACTTATAATCACCTTCAATTTCTAAAAAAAAATTGCACTTCTCCCATATTTGCCTTCAACTTCTAGAAAGAACATCATTATTTTCATATTTTTCTTTAATTTAAATATCAACATTTATCTTTCATTTGCCTTTAATTCATAAAAAAAGAGACAATCATCTTATATTTGTCTTTAATTCTTAAAAAAAAGGGGGCATTTATTTTACATTATTCTTCAATTCTTAAGAGCAAACAATATCATTCATCTCTTATTGGTCTTAAATTCTTAAAAGAAAAAAATGCATTATTCATTTTGCATTCCATCCTAAAATGGAAAGAGAGTGATTTTATCTTTTTCTTCAATTCCTAAAAGAAAAAA